CGTGACGAGGAGCTTCGCGACGGGGCGCTGCACGATTGGTAGGAGTTCCTTCTTGCAGCACGAAGATCAGATCTCCGACTCGTTGCCTTGTCCCCTGTGCAGCCTCTCTTCTCAAACGCTCGTGGCGCTCCAGTTTCACATCCGCACGCACTGCGCGCAGCCCTCTCCTTCGCGCCCGGGACTGCCGAGGACGACGCGCCATGTCTTCGGGGCCAGGGGCCGCCGCGGCGCCAGCGCAGCAGGAGATGGACCGCCCAGTGCTTTTCAAAAGGCACAAGGCAGAGGGAGAGGGCGACAAATCCACCGGGGACGGACCCACAGGCAAGAAACACCGCGCGGGAATGGCAACGATGTCAGGCGACGCGGAGGACGCCATCCAGGCGGTCGAGGGAGCTATCAAGGCCCGCGACCTACAGCACGCCTTCTCCTCAAGATGGCGCGCCAGCACGCGCAGCAGCTGAGAGACCTGGCGGCGTCGGAGTGGATCAGCGCGATCACCCCCACGAGCTCGGCGGCGGCGGAGGCGGCGCGCGGAGCTGGTAAGCTCTATGCAGAGGCCGCGCAGGTCGCAGCGGCGAAGCCTCTTTGGGGGCCTCCTCATTTGTACATCGCGCGAGCCGCGCACAAGTCTCTCGCGGAGGCAGGGGCGGTCAAGGCGCAGACGGAGCCACGTCAATTGTGGACCATGTTCTACGGGCAGTTCATCTCTGAGTCGGGAGTAAAGGAGATAGGATTGATGATCAGGCACTTTCAATTACAGAAGTGCTGCAACGACCAATTCACTCGCATTCAGTTCGCGATCGCGGACCAGATTACGCTTCGGGGGAAGAGGAAAGACACGGACGCGGTAGAGAGGGATCTTAACTTCTCGAGGCTCGAGCTGGAACAGGGCAAGGTTCTCGCGCTGGTAGCTCCCGGAGGCAAAATCAAGATGGGCACCGCCCCACGGGTACCTCGAGTCTGCGGCGCAGAAGTTGTTGGAGCGCTCGACAGCACCCAAGGGGAAGGGCCAGAGCAAGTAGTTGAATCGTGGGAGTTGAGGTGGAAGGCGCTGCATGATAGAATTCTGGCCCGAGAGGCACTCGGATAAGGTGTGTCGTGGTGTGTTTGTTTTGTATGGGCGTCCTTCCATATCTGTATACTTCCAATGCTGACCCGATTCTTGCGATGACGGACGGCGCCTTCACATTATTCCTCGTGGCTTGGTTCAGTGCTCGCGATCAGTAACCTTACTCGCAGCAACTGGACAGAATCCTGACACGATCCTCGAAGTAATGCACCTTCTGGGACGTCCCACTACTGGACCGACACACCACCGACGATTCTGGGCATACGATGCATGGTACCACACAGGAGCTCAACGCCGCGGCTCCACTTGGGTCACAGCTGCGCACAGCTCTGTCACTACCAGGTCAGATGTTTCTTGTGGCTCGGAAGGTGCAGGTCGTCTTTTCAGATCACCGCCGGGTGTCACCATTGGCAAACGTCAGGGGTCACCGTTGGCACCGTCGGGGCCCGCCGTCGGCGCCTTCGGCAAGCGTCGGGGGCCACCGCCGGCAGCTGCCACGACAGCGTCGGGGGTGCGCTGCTCGGGTTCGCCGACCGGTTGCTGGAGAGTCCGGGGGCCAGGCCCTGAACGACTTCCTCTAGGCCTTGCGGTCGGCCGCGGCACGCCTCGGCCTCCTCCCCCCCCCATGCATGCTCGTCCGAGGGGCCCCCATCTGCCCGCGTGGCCGTGTGGGAGATCCACGGTCGGAGGGGGTCTCCCTTCCCCGAGTGGGGGCTCGGCCGAGCCGAGCCTCCTCCCAGGGGGGGGAGCACGTCCGGCCCTTTTCCTTCCTGGCCGAATGCTTTGCCCAGGGTCCTCCTTGGTTTATGTTCTTTTAACATATATATATATATATATATATATATATATATATATACCAACCAAAAAAAACTGTTCTTTCCAGGGTTCGGCGGGTGCTTCGGGGGCCTGCCCGACGCCTGCAGCGTCGCTGGGCTCGGCCTCGGCGAAGCCCGAGGGGAAGCACCCCCAGCCCGTGGGGACTGGATCGATCTGCATGGGCCGAATAGGCCCGATTCGAGCTAAACTGCGCCCGCACGCTTCGACCTCGAGAAGCCGAGAGTTTTCGACCGTCGAGAAGTTTGCAGGTCTCACGCTTGCCCGATGCCCGTTCGGCGCGACACGAGACCACGCGCAATGCCGAGTATTCTTCTTGTTATTCCTCCTCCTCCTCCTCCTCCTCCTCCTCCTCCTCCTCCTCCTCCTCCTCCTCCTCTTCAACCTCCTTTTCATTGGTCCTTGCTCCTTGCTGTTTCTCCTCCTCCTCCTTTTTTCTCCTTCTCCTGCGCCAGATTCCTCCCCCGCGGGGGCGATCGGAGGCCAAAGAAGGTGTCCTGCGGCTGCAGAGATGGCGAGCGCGGACACAGCACCGCATTGTGGCAGGCAGGAAAGGCTCGCCCGGCAGCGCTGCTCTATCATTCCTCTTCTTCCTCCCCCCCTTCGTCCTTCGTTCACCTCCGCCTCCTCCTCCTCCTCATCATCATCATCATCTTCCTCCTCTTCCTCCTCCTCCTCCTTCTCCTTATCCTCCTCCTCATCCTCCTCCTTCTCTTCCTCCTCCTCCTCGTCTTCCTCCTCCTCCTCCTCCTCCTCCGCCTCCTCCTCCTCGGAAGGGGGCCTCCGTGGCTACCGCAGACGTATTGCACACATAAGTCCCCTCTTGGTACGTTGCCCCCCTCTATATCTTTATAGATGTATATATATACACACACCTACATGCATGCATGCATGCATACATACGTACATCCACCCATCCATCCATGAATGCATGCGTGCGTGCGTACGTACGTACATACATGCAAACATACATGCATGCATTCATACATACATGCATGTATACATACATACATGCATACATACATACGTATACACATATACATTTACATTTACATATACATATACATATACAAATACGAATACATAAATGTGTATATGAATAAATTGGCACGCTCCACCTCCTCCTCCTCCACCACCACCTCCTCCTCCTCCTCCTCCTCCTCCTCCTCCTCCTCCCACCTGCTCATCCTCCTCCTCCTCCTCCTCCTCCTCCTCCTCCTCCTCCTCCTCCTCCTCCTCCTCCTCCTCCTCCTCCTCTCCCTCCTCCTCCTGCTGCTGATCCTCCTCCTCCCCCTCCTCCTCCTCCTCCTCCTCCTTCTCCTCCTCCTTCTCCTCCTTTCGACCCGAGACACTGCTCAATTGTCTGTCGGTCGCGATTGGAACTTCTGTGCGAAAGGCGAGTCGGGGCAGCACGTTGACCCGTCCTTAGAACTCAGAGCGGCTCGCTTGCAGATGAGTTTGGCAGGCTCTCCCTTCGGTATACCTGAACCTGCACATGGACATCACACACAAGAGGGGAAGAGTGGCGAGGGGGGAGGAGCAGATGAGCGGACGAGAAAATTGGAGAGAAGTCAGGGAGAGGGGGGGTCAAGGGGAGTGGAGGCGAGGGTAGACTGAAGGGGGGAGAGAAGAAAGGGGAGCAACGGGGGGAAGGAAGAGAACGGACGGGGAGAGGGGATGGGAGGGGAGGAGGAAGGTGAGGGGAGGGAGGAGAGGGAAGAGAAGGAGGCTCCACAGTGTTCCCGGCGGGCCAAAATCGTTGAAGCAGCATCGATGAACAGCAACGTGGCGCCGTCTCCGATCCTATAGGCTTACGGCACATCCGCCGACCCCTTGATCTAGTCGGGGACTCCTATTGCTGTCCTGGGGCCTTCTTGTGTCGATGCTCGTGGCCGCAGGAGCGAACAGGAGGAGGAGGAGGAGGAGGAGGAGGAGGAGGAGGAGGAGGAGGAGGAGGAGGGGCATGTGGAGGTGGAGGAGGAGGAGGAGGAGGAGGAGGAGAGGGAGGAGGAAAAGGGGGAGGAGGAAAAGTGAGGATCTGGTTGGCAGGCGTGAGCTTAAACCTCCGAAGGCCGTTCGGGACGATCCTGGCACCCCCAGAACGCATGGTTTCACCTTGGATCTGGAGGCAGTGTGCAGGTACCCGGACCGCGAACGGAGTTGTGGGTTTGAGGCCACTCGGATGGCTTATGGGGTCTCGTGGGAGGGCTCTTGGGGGCGTGTTGGAGCAAGTTTTTGGGCCTCTGAGGGGCCTCCTGGGGAGGTCGTGGGGCCTTTTTCGGAATCTCTTGGGGTTCCCTGGGGGCCCCTTGAGGCTTCTTGGGTTTTTCTTGGGACAACCTGGGGGCGTCTTGGGGCCGACGGGTCGAAATTTTAGGTCGGGTTCCGCTTTTGCGCTCTTTCTTGGGGCCTTCCTGGAGCCCTTGTCGGCCGGCTTGGGGGTTTCTTTGGCCGTCTTTGGCCGTCTCGGGGCTATCTTGGGCCGTCCTGGAGCCCTCGTAGGGGGCTTCCTGGCCCGTCTAGGACGTAGCGAAAGCCCCAGTTGCGAATCTGCTCAAAAAATACGCTTCCGAAGCTAATGGGACGATGTTGGCTCTGACGGCCCTCTGGGGGAGGTTGTTCGAGGCCTCTTAGGGCATCCTGGAAGCATCTTGAGCCGTGTGGAGGCCATCTTGGGCGGCTTGGAACGATATTTCGGCGAGTCGGGGCCATCTTGGACCCTCTTCGGAGGCCTCAGGGGCTGTCTTAGCGCTCCAAAGGGAGCCCGAGGAGGGCAGGACCCCCCCCGGATACGTTCGGCGGTGGGTCGTGCCAGGCCCAGGGGGGTGTCAAATTGCCGTTTTTGATTCCGGGCGGGGATTATGGGGGGGAACAATCTCACACGCACAAGGGTCGGCTGATTTCTAGGCAATGGCAGCCATCAGTCAGGACGGCCCCGCATGGTGTGAATATGAGGGACATGGCCCACGATGTATCCATCACCGGCTGTCCAGCCACAGCACCACATATTCTCGACGTGCCAGTCAGCGCGTTATCGCGAGGGCATCCTGCGCAGGGCACATGATCCGCCTCTGGACGCATTCTCGGCTCAATTCTGCAAGGAGTGGGCCGCGCTCCTCCGACTTATGCAAGCATTACACAAGCTTCCCTTTTTTGTACTACTACATGCGACCACTTTCACAGCGGCCGTCATCCAGCATGCCCACGTGCGTTGCCGAAAGCGGCGGCGTGGTCACGATGGCCACCATCAAGAACACGTTCCTGGAGTTCGTCAGCCCAGCCGAGGACGCCGCCTCCTCCCTGTCCTCCGTATCCTGCTCCTCCCTCTCATCCTTCCCCACGCCTACTCCTGCCCCTCCTCCCCCTCCTCATCTGTTCACTCCTCATCCTTCCCCTTCTCCTCCTCCCCCTCCCCTCTGCCCCCAACCCTCGGGCTGGCCAGCCCAGTCGAGGACGCCACTTGCAGCTCGTCCTTGCGCCGTACCAATTCCAGCCCGTGCCTGATCAGCAGCTCCGAGGAGAGCTCGGGCGTGGGATGAGGGGGGGCTACACTGTGAGCGCGCCCTCCTCCCCCTCCTCATTTCTCCCTCCCCGCCAATGGCCTCCTCCTCTCCTCCTCCTCCTCCTCCTCCTCCTCCTCCTCCTCCCCTCCTCCTCCTCCTCCTCCTCCTCCTCCTCCTCCTCCTCCTCCTCCTCCTCCCCTCCTCCACCACCACCTCCTCCTCTACCTCCTCCACCTCCGCCTCCACCTTCACCTCCTGCTCCTCTTTCACCTCCTCCTCTCTCCTCCTCCTCCTCCTCCTCCTCCTCCTCCTCCTCCTTCTCCTCCTCCTCCTCCTCCTCTTCTCCTCCTCCTCCTCCTTCGCAATCACCCTCCAGGGGGAGGGGTGACTGCAAACACTGTGTTCACAAAGCTGGCAAGGCGCCCCGGCAGCTCACTGGAGCACGCGCGCGCTGGCGAGCCGCATGCGCATCGGCTCGCGCTGCAACTCTGATCCGCGCGATGCATTGGAAAGGGACTGGGGGAGAGGGAGCGGTTGGGCGCGCACAAGGGGGTGGGGCAGGGGGAGCGGGTTCAGAGGGCGGGAGGGCTCTGAGAAGCCATCCTGCCTTCCAAGAAGTCTTACTGCAAGCCTCCAGGTCTCCCTAAGGATCCCACTGATTTCTCACAAGGTCCCCGCCTTCGCCACACGCGCACACACACACACAGACACTTCTGCCGCCCCGGACTCTGGCCCCTGGACGCCCCTGGAGATCCCGGATAACTCCTGAGGCCCAGCAGGGGCTGAAGGCATCCAAACAACTAGTCTCACGCGTGCTTCTCGATCCCGGCTTGGCCTTGACGCGAGGCCTCTCCCTCTGCCTTCCCCCCCTCTGTCAACTGAAGCTGTGCGCGGCCCGCTGAGCTTCGACCGGAAGAGGCTCGCTCTCGACCCGCGGATCAGAAAGGGGCTTCCTGATTCCGGGAGCCGCAAGAAGCACGCGTCCGGGCGCCAGGCCCCGCTGCCCTACAGGGCGCGGCGCGCGCCGTCGCCGAGTCGGGCGGCGCCAGCGCCAGGCCTCGGGGGAGGCTGTTCCCCGATCCGTGTCTGCATACACTCCAGGCGATGCTTAAGAAAACCCAAGTTTTCGGCCAGAGTCTCGATTATTCTTAATGTTTCAATGTAAATCTTAACATTTGAATAGACATTCTGGGTTTGATTTCAAATTCTGAGACTATGAATTTCTTAACCCATGATTTCTAAAGCATTTCGCAGGGTGTAGGCCCAAGGAGGAATCGGGAGGAGAGAAAACACTCTTTTGATCCGCGGGTCGAGAGCGAGCCAGAAGCTGAGCGGGCCGCGCACAGCTTGAATGAGCAGAGGGGGGGGCAAAAGAAGGCGGGGCCTCACGTCAAGGCCGAGAGAGGGCAAAGCCCTGGGAGCAGGCGGTGCCGAAATCGAAGTGCGGGAAAAGGTACGCCTTGGACAGGAACTCGAGGAGAAAAAACACACAGACACAATTGATCGTCGAGCCCCAGGAAAACATGGGGAAGTCTGGGAAGTGGGGGGGGAGACGAGAACCCCGAAAATATGGGAAACTATGGGGAATCCTTGTATTTGTGTGTGTATTTATGTGTGTGTCCTGGGGCCCCTTCACAGAAGTGCCCCCCGACAATCGAGGTAAAAGCTCAGTGGCGGCAGCAGCCGTGGCAGCGACAGCAGCTAGCAGCGCCTCCGAGGACGCCTCCTCGGGCAGGGCCGCGGCCGCGGACGACGACGACGACTCGTCCTGGCCCGACGCGAGCGGGGGCGACGCGGAGAGCGTCCGGACGGCTCCCTCGGACGATTCGCGGACGACCGACGCGGACTTTCCCACAGGCTGCCCCCCGTCCCCTCGCCCCACTCGTTTCACTTTCCCGGCGTCGTCGTCGTCATCCACTCCTCCTGCGTCTCCGCCTCCATCTTCTCCGCCTCCATCTCCTCTTCCACCTCCTTTTTCTCCTCCTTCTCATCATCATCATCATCAGCAGCAGCAGCATCATCACCATCATCCTCACTTCCTCCTCCTCCTCTTCCTCGCTCGCTCGCTCGCTCGCTGACTGAAGGCCGATGAGTTCGCAGCCTCTCATAGGGAATGTGAGAAGAAAGAAGGAGCACGACACATGCACGGGGTTGTTGTGACATCAGGGGTCCCCGCCAACCACCGCCAAGGCCGCGCAAAGCAAACAGGGTCCTACGGCAGAGGAAGGTCAGGGGCCTCCAAGGGGCCAGGTCACCAGGGAGATCCAATGCGGCCTCGCAATCCTGACTTAACCGCCCTCCGATCCACGCGTCACAGAAAGAGTCCGCCATCAAGCGGTAGAAGCACGAGGGGAGACCGATGCTCATGCTACCTAATTCTCTCCATGCCCATGATCCCCCCTGCACGTCCATCCCCCCCTTCGCACGGATCCTCGTAGTGAAAGTCGGGCAAGAAGCCGCCACTGAGCAGACGGCGTCCCACCCGGCCCTATGGGCCATAGCACACACCTCGGTGACAACAGGGATTTGGGGGAGGATGAAAGACGAACAGAACAGACAGGGAGCTGCTCGAACTCGAGCTGGTGGCCAACCTTCCGCTCACCATGGGTCAACCATGGGAGTCCCAAAGCACACGCGTGAGCACACATCTTGGCCGCACTTCTCAGAAGTTCATTCTGCCTGGCCAACAAAACTCTCCCCCTGAGGTTGCAATTCGGGCGCCCCCGAGGATTCTCGGCGTCGCGAAGGGGCCCAAACCGTCCAGGTCGGGGCCCAGAAATCCTCGGGGCAAAAAACGACCCCCTGCGACCTCACCCCTGGTCATTTTATCAATCCAGAAGGCGCCTTGCCCCACAATCTCCTGATGAGAGACGTAAGTGACCACGACAGCCAACTGCCTCTGGCACGATCTGGCCTCAAGCCAGGTTTGCAAATCTTGTTCCGTCGAGGGGTCTAGGCGGTGCTGGCGCTGCACTCGACTGGGCCTGTACGGCCACGGGAGGAGCCTCCACAGCACCGCCTCGACCTTTTTGTCCCAGTCTTGGTCGCGAGCGGGGGCCCGTGCACCCCATACGCCACTTTCTCGACAGAGTGCTCGCGCCTCCCCCCCTTGCGATTGAGACTCTGCTGCTTGCTGCTCAGGTCCTTCCACTCCGCCAGCTCATGGTCAATGGACTTCCTGCCTAGATCAGCCCACGCTTCGCAGCAAGCCACCTGCTGCTTAAGGTGCTTCACGAGCCTCCCTCTCGTGTGGAACTCTAGCATGCCTATCTGGCAAACAGTGCCCGTAGCCCACAAGGTGGGGTCCCTGTCGCTCTTCTGAAACGTGTTTTTTTGTGAATGGAGAGCCCCCTCAAGGTTGCCTCCTGGCGGGGGCCCCTTCAGGGGCCTCGGGAGCCTCGGGGGCAAGCCCAAGCCCCTTTCACCACACCGTCCAGCTCACGAGCCAGTTGAGTCTGAAGCTGAGAGAACAACTCACGCATGGCAGCCTCCGCAACCAGATTCAAAAACTGACGGGAGCTGATCCTGGCATGTTGAATCCAACATTCCGCAGTCCCATTCTGTGGGATGTCCAGCTTGTTAACGGTGTGGTTGGGCCGGGCGAAGTCGTTCGGGGCCGCAGCCCAACTCTTGGGGTCGCCCCTCAGACAATCCAGCACGACGCGGAGCCCCGCAGGGGCCGACCTGAGGACGCGACGCAAGTACCGAAGTCGGGCCACCCTCATGACAGCCCGATGCCCAAGTCTCCCCATTCTCTGCGGCACAATGGCATGCGAGGTCCAGTCCCCAGAGTTGCCAGCGAGAGGCAGCCCTAGCGCCGCCCATTAGCCAGCGCCTGGCAGCCCATGCGGCAGTCTGCACATTAGCCACTTTGGCATGAGGTTTACTGCAAACGGGCCCCCACACATTGAAACACAACTTGGAGATCGCAAAGGTATCAGTGTACTTGGCATTGATGGCCGGGCTCAACTACTCGCGCCTGCCAAGGGCAACTTGAATGGGCCGAAGCTCGCGCCTCATCTGCGCGATCTCATGGGCAACCTCAGCGTCGGCTCCACCCCCTTCCATCACGATGGCCCCGAGCCCCTTGATGTGCTTGATAACTCGAACGGAAACCCCAAACAAGGCAGACGAAATCTCAAAATCACCGATTGTACTAGCCATCTTGCTTGACCGATTTGGAAAATTACACACGATCGGGAGCATCCAAAAGGTTTTACTAGCGTTCATCTGCAAACCGAACCTCGACACGGCGCGAAACACTATGCCCATCAGGGCCGCAGCCTTGGCGGGAACTTGCCGCGCGTCCCTCAGTGCCCCGACGGGGGTGAGGTCATCCACGAACGAGACAGAACTGGACTGGCGTGCCCAATCCTGCTCAACAGCAAATCTGCACTCGCACCGCTGTGGATGTCAACACCTATTCCCCCCCCCTAGTGCCCGCTTCCATCTCCTGAGTGACGGGAGCAAAAGCAAGATTGAACACATCCGTGGCCATGATGGTGCCTGGCCTCGTTCCCAAGGTGGGCCGAACGTGCTGGCACGCAGTGCGCGCTTCCCGCCATCCGCCACCTGGGCAGTCGCGCACCGGCTCGAGGAGGTGCGCGTCACTCACGGCCTGGTCCAGAACGGGTTGGCCATCAAGGGCTCGGGTGACCGAGAAAAGACCTTTGGGAATCTCGACTGACTGCCTGGCCTCTCGCAAATCCTTGTTCCTTTCCTGGGAGCGAAAGAATGCGTTTGTTCACCGCGCTGTGAAACGTGGCCATGAGGTCAAGAACAAGAGCCATGCTCGAGCACTTGAGGTCCTCTCGCTTCGTGGGGTGCACGTCCGGAGCACGTACAGTCCAGTCGTTGTCGGGCCTCTGGGAGCTTCTCGGGCGCCCCTTGGAGGCCTCTTTGGGGCCTCTTGGGTTCTCGCGGGGGCGTCTGGGAGGCCTCTTGGGGGCCTCTGGGAGGCCTCTTGGGGGCGATCTTGCGCTGTCTGGTCCCTTCGGAGGCTGTCTTGGGGTACTCTTGGGCCGTCTTGTGGGCCTCTTGGGGCATCTCGGCGGCCTCTTTGGGCTGTTGGGGGCCGTCTGGGGACCACTTCGGTGGACCTCTGAGAGCCGAACTAGGCGGGAACGCTGAAATCTTCAAAAAAACATTGGAAAATCAATGTTTTCGGGCTTCTGGAGGTGCTCTTGGGGGTCCTCTGGGGGCCCTCTTGGGGCGTCTTGGGGTCTTTGTAGGCCCTCTTGGAGCCATCTTGGGCCGTCGTGGGGCCGTCTTGGGGCCATCTCGAGCCGTCTTGAGGCCCTGCTGGGCCCCCAAGAAGGCCAACAGGCCCAACTCATAGATGTTCTATAGGTGTTGGTAAGTTTTTAGGCCCAGGAGGGGACGGGCCACTTTGGGTCGGTCGAAATGGCGTGGCTGCACAATTGCGGCAGGTTGTATTGTGTTACATTATGATGTCTCCCCCCCTAACCCCCCCACCCCGAGATGCCTCCGGCAACACGTCACCTCCGGACGTGGACTCTATAGGTTTACACCACATCCGCCGACCCCTTTATAAACTACTGCACATCCAGGACTGCATTCCACGAGGCTTGTCCGATTCCTGGGAGGTTCTTGGGGGCGTTTGGGGGCTCTGTTCGGCCTCCCTGGGGGCTTCTTGGGGTATGTTGGGGGTTTCTTGAGGCAACCTGGGGGCGTCCTGGGGCCGAAGGCTGGAAATGTGGGTTCGGGTTCCCCCCGTGAGCCCCCTTTGGGCGCCGTCTGGGGCCCTCTGGGGCCGTCATCGGAGCTTCTTTGGCGGTCTTGGGACCATTGTGGGCCGTCTTGGAGCTGGCCTAGGGGTCTTTTGGGCCGTCTTGCACGGCATGAAAGCGCAAGAGGCGAATATGTTTAAAACATACGTTTTCCTGAGGAATGGGGCAAGTTTCACTTCTTCGGTGCCTTTTGGGAGGCCTCTTGGAGGCCACTTGGGGCGTTTTGGAGGCATCTTGGGCCGTCTGGATGCCATCTTGGGCGTCTTGGAACGATCATTCGACGATTCGGGGCCCTCTTGGACCGTCTTGGGGCCCACTTGGGGCCCTCTTGGCCCGTTTGGGGGCCCTCTATGCTCCCATGACGCGTTCGTCCGGGGTCGGGGGGGTCGTTCGTCCGGGGCCCGGGGGGGTCAAATCTCCGGTTTGGGGTCCCTGGGGGGGGGTTCTGGGGGGGGAACAATCTCACACGCCTAGAGACCCACAAGTGGTCGGTTGATTCCTTTGAGCTTGAAACATGCTGCGAGCAAAGTGAGTGGTCACGTCCGTGCTGCGGCCCTTCAAACCCCCGCGCGGGGCGCCGAGCAGGCACTCAGAAATGACCTGCCACACCCTAGCCCTCACAAATGTATGGTGCACGTTGCTGGTGGCATTCCCCAAGAGGATGCAACATTGACTCTTAGCTTTGCGTAGATCCCCGTTCCCCTTGGAGAAACTCACGACCACCCCCTCCTTCAACGCGCACGGTTCTCTGCCCGCCACAGCAGCCTTGGTGAGAATAGGGCGATAAGCGCGAGCCATGCCCTCGGGCTCCAACAAAAAGGGTCGTTATGGAGTCCGTCAGGGCCTCCAGCCGCGCCACTCTTGAGTTGGCCTAGGGCTCGCTGGAGCCCTCGTCGGGGCATGACGCTGCCAATGCAAAGCTCGGTATCTTCGGCTGAGTTAGACCCTCGTGCGTTGTAAATCAATTAAAAAATCCTCCTTAGTGGCTGGCTTGGCACGCTCGATCTACCCAAAATGGAGCTGACGGTCATCCGCGTCTGCCTGCGGCGTGAGCAAGGCTTCACCACGTGGCCTGGGGCGGAGTGGAAAGGGAAGGGGCTTCTGGTG